GATTCTGGGACCTGCAAGTTTTAGAAGTTGTTCAACCTATTTTTAGTGTGAAGTGCATTTTATTTCATCCAGATCCTTTGGTGTCACTTCATCATTAATGGAATACATGCCCTTGTAAATTTAGTATTTGCATAACAAGAGAACATATCTCCTTGTACAGTGTCAGTATTTTTAAACATTTTTAAGTTTCACTCATGAGATTCATCAGAAGAGTGTTAATATGTTCTATGAAGAGGCCCATTTCAAAAGAATAATTCATCCCTCTGATGCCTGTCTTGGTCAGCTTGGGGCACTGTAACAAAATACCACAGATGGAATGACTTAAGGAACAGATCATTATTTCTCATAGATCTGGAGGCTGGGAAGTCCAAGGGCAGGGTTCCAGCATGGTCAGGTTCTCTGAGAGCCTTCTTTCTGACTTCGGCTGAATGCCTTCTTGCATCCTCACGTGGCTAAAAGAGAGAGCTCTTCCATTTCTTCTAGGGCCACAGATCCCATTATGGGGACTTTTCCATAATAACCTCATCTAAATCTAATTACCTTCCATTGAGCCCACCTCCAAATACCATCACACTGAGTATTAGAACTTCGCTGTATGTATTTTGGGGGATACAAAAATTCAGTCCATAGAAGTCCCTTACCTCTATTCCCAGCAGTTTCTTGAAGGACTGTTACTCTTATTTCTAGTCACTAAAAAGATAGGCAGCAGATTAGATGCTGGTAATAATGTCAAATGCAAAATACCTGCTGCTAAACCTGCTGTTAAACCAAACTACTGTCTCAACCACATGGGCCGTACTTGTGATACTGAGCTGCTTTTCTGTGTTGTTCCCCAAGAAGGCGAGAATAAGCCTTCATTCAACCCCAAGAGTGACAGTTTTACCTGAAAGTCATGATCTAAACTGTGATCTCATGGTACAAGGACTATTAGTACTAGACACACAATATTAGATATTTTCAATTGAATTTTTTCAGGAGGAATTGGTGAATGGTGTTGGAAACTAAAAAAGTTGTCAAGTATATATTGTAGGTATTTTCTGTAATTTAAACACAATGACTGGAATCCAAAGAATGAATGTGCTGCTTATGAAAATCGTCTTTTATTCTTCATGTACCTCATGGAGTCCATGTAAACACTCAGATCAAGAACACGTCACATCTGTATGTAGACCATCCTCTAGCTAGTTCAGTTCCATTAGGCCTAAGGATTAGGACTCAGTTTCGTTTTGTATCTGCATTTTGAAAAGTTAGAAATGAAAGTAGAAGAGAGCAAACGGGCATCTCAAATGTCTCAAACAGAAATACCTGATTTCCAAATGTGAAAAAAAATAGGTTTCTTTAAAAAAAAAATTCAGATGACATGGAGGTTTTCGCAAGGCCTGATTTTGTGTCAGGCTGTGTAAAACTGGATCACATAGTCCAGACAAAGGACACAGTGAGAGTGGGAGAAGAAAGTGAAAGACAGAGATTTTTAATGGATGATTTTTTTTTTTTACAGATAATTGTTTTCTCGCCTTTCAGTTTTATCTTTGAGTTTGACATTTATGGACCCAAATAACAACATTAGAATTCTCTTGAGGATAATCCACTTCGGGTCATCAAAGCCACTGGATTCATGAAGACTTAACTGGAAAGATCTGAGTTTAGCCAAAGCAGGCATTTCCCAACTCCTTTTGACTTGAAAAAAACTCTTCAGTGGGATGTGTCATTCCACATAGCCTGTAGGGCTTCAATCTTTAAAACAATTTTGAGTGAAATATAATAACTATATTTTAAGTAGATATATATTTACATATATAGCTTTGGATTAATCCATTATCCAAAACTATAAAATATTTTAATGCTATCTTGAGAAATAATACATAAAAATACCAATTTTAACCTTTTCCATTACAAATCTTCATTTTACTTTCATTTTAAAGGTTAACATTTATTGAAAAATAAATTCAACAATCTAATAGTGCTTCATTTTGGGTTTTTAAATAAATATTTATAAAATATTGTTAATGTGTATAATAATATGAGAAAAAAGTGACACTGTGACGAGATATGTAGAGTTCTTGCCCTTTACTTTAAAAATTAGCTGATTTATTTTTATAATTGTTACATTTTGTTTCTAACTGAATAGATAAAAAGGAGATTCAAGATGTTATGTGAACAGTGTACAAGTAACACAGTGTATGCGGTATAATTTTTATTTCCCATGATTCTGAGCCGTGTTTAATACTCATTACACTAGCTTATGCTTTTCAAATTGATTTTTGAAGTACAAAACATACACAAGAATTTCGATCTGAAGGGAAAATTGAACAAAATTTGCAGAATTATATCATTATGCTCCTAGTTTCCTTATTGCATTTCAACATCAGTGTTCCTTGAGCTTCCTGCCTTTAACGAATGGCTAATTATGGATATAAATTAAACAATGTTTGACTGAGAATTTAAGAAAAGCGCTGTGCTGTTTAAGACTGATGGACTGGCTAAGATTATCAACTGAGTCAGATATTAAGTGACTGATGAGCCAGCTCATCTGACCTCCTC